TGGTGTTCAAAGCCAGGCTGGATGAGGCCTTGTGCAACCTGAGCTAGTGAGGAGGTGTCCCTGCCCATGGTGGGGAGGGTTGGGACTAGATGATGTGTAAGGTCCATTCCAACCCTTAAATTCTATAATTCTAATTCTACTATCTGTATTTAGTTTAACACTCACATATTTGAGTCTTGATGACTCTTGATGAGGCATAAATGAGAGCAGAACAACTCTCACATTAGGCTGCAAGTCGTCATTGGATGATAAAGTGTGCTTATCATGTTCATGTAGAAGGAAGATTAACAGAAGCAAACTGCACTGTGTGTGGAGCACAGTGAACTTTTGTTTGTCATGTTTTGAAGCTGCTTTGTGCTTTAATTTTTTTCCTGTAAGTTAGTCATCCGAAAGTAATTGTTTGAAAGTATTTTACATTGTAAGGAAAGTAAGTCTCTCTGTACTTCCATGACATTGAGAGGTTATAGTGACAAAAATAAATTGAAGTCTGTTTATAAAAAGCTCTTCATAAGAGGCAAGTACAGATGGGTGAAAACTGCATTGATTATTTTTTGTCTGATAAAATTGTGATGAAGATCAGTGTGCCAAGAGAATAGCATTCTTAACCATATATGAAAGATTGAGCTTACGAGCCTGTAATAATTAAAATTCCTAGGCTTTCTTTGAGAGAAAACATCACCTACCACATAATTCTATGTGGTAGAAGCTAATGGCATTAAACTCTTCAAAGTATTGCATATACCTCTTAAGTGCACACCCAACAGAACCAACAAGTAGAGCATACTGTAGCAAATTACAGCAGAACAGAAACAGATTCATTTTTTTAATTTAACATGATTATATAATTGCTGTTTTATGAGGCCAAGTTTTTGAAATGACTGTAATGAGATGTTTATTCAGTTTGGTTATAATAAACAGATCTTTTCACTTGCAGGGTATAATTACAGTAACATTTGAAGTTCCAGGAAATATAAAAGAAGAAGACCTAAATCTCTTTATTCAGGTAAGTAAGATATTGCTGTCAACTGAAAAATCATTGTGGCTTTTTATAGAAACTCATCCCATGATATTTTGTTTATGAAAACATCTATTCTTTTCATAGAATCTTCTGTGGGAGAAGAATGTGAAAGATAAGATTGGGCTCACCATGGATGTCATAAGACTGAAGGTTAGTCAGAAATTACCAGCTTGTTTTGTGCTTTTCTTCCTTACACCAAAAAAACTGTAGTGTGCTATCAGTTACAGACCTATCAAAAGTGGTGCTACTGGATCACTGCAGCAGAGTATATGAAATGGAGAATAGCTAGTTGTCATTGTACCATGAACAACTTAAAAGGAGGTAGCTGGCAGAGGACCAAACATAGATCCTACTTGGTTTGAATGGAGAGTGCAGATGTACAGTCCCAAACATCGGTGACAGAGTTAATAATCATGACATAGGTTAATCACTTTTCAAGTTTCACCTCCATTTCTTTGTAAGGTTACATCCCTCTCACATAAAAGTTTCCTTATCTAGGGTTTGATACTATAGACTGGACCCTATAGATTACTAGATGTTATTGGAGTTGTTGCCATAATATGCAGAAGTTGAATTTGTATAACATGGGAGTGCAATACTAGTTGTGGTCTACACTCAACTTTTGCAGTATTGTCAGACTGCAGCCTTAAAGATGCAGCTCATAAGTAATCAACTTCGTGGGCACTTTGTATATTTTCCAGTTGCATGGTTTTGAGAGGAGCAGAGGTGACAATTTAGGATTTATTCTCTTTTTCCTTATACCAAGCAGCCAGGTATATAATTTAAAAAAAATGAGAATCAAGTGTGTCATTTGGAAGGCTGTAAGAAATAAAAGTATGCTCCTGTTTGCTTTCTGAGAACAGTTGTGCATCATGGTTAGCAACATAATTATTTTCATTTCATTGGAAGGAAAGTTGTTTTCCTGCTCTTTCAGAAACAAAATTAGATATTGTTTTCTTCTGGTCTTCTCCTTCCTGACAAATAGGAGAACATAGCCACTGATGCATCTTAAACCATCTGAAAACAGTAATGCCATGCACAAATATGTTTTTGTTGTAGTGAGCATTGGAATCAAAGTAGTTCTTTAGGAGATGTGAGGCCTGTGATAAGCTGTATGCTGACCCTCAGTCACAGGCAATTACACCAAAGCAAATGAACCCAAATAATTAATTACAGAATGGGTTCCAAAGTTCGTTGCTTTTATATGTATATTTTACCTGCAGGGATAATTCTTTTAGCAGTAATAGTCATAGAATTCCAACTAAGTTGAAGTTCTGACTTTTTACATGAAATATTTTAACAGAGTTTTTTAGCTTTAGAGAAGTATAAGGCATGTTTTACAGAATGTGTTCCAGTAAAATATTTTAGAAAGTTTTATATGAAGTGCTGAAGACTGTTTTAATAGAACTTTTGCTGTGTGGGTTAATGGGCTCACTCTGACACTAGTCCCTTCTAATTCTGTTGCTAGATGTTTTACTTCACAAATGTTTGTTCCTTTTCCAGTTTTCAGAGATTATTTTTCAGAGGAGTGAATATGCTTAGCATGAGAGCTTAATCAGAATAATTTGAAATCAGACATTCTTGCTCAATTTGCATGACCTTTGCTGGCAGTCGGTCTTTCATGGACTCCCATGTCATACACCATATATCCATATATTCTAAGTGGTGTAGTAGCTAGTGACATTTTATTTTTGCTGGAGCATGCTAGGTACTTACCACACGAGGATTAAAAAGCACAGTATAGTAAAGTGTAAGTAACAGTCTTTAACAAATTAAGGAGATGTGAGAATGGGTGTTACAGGTAGAAGTGATAATACGTGATTATTTTGACTGACAGGTTCATAGTTGCCAGAAGTACTATTCCCTGCTTGGACTAGTTTCAAAGTTTTGTTTCCCCTCTTACGTATTCTATTTTTAAAGGTGTGTTAATATATCCTAACAGTTATTTTTCTGATAAGGGACTGGTATCTATTCAAGGCAAATCTCATCAGGTGATAGTCCAAGGTGTCCATGAGCTCTATGATCTGGAAGAGACTTCAGTAGCCTGGAAAGAAGATGAAAACAGAACAAATAGACTGGTCCTAATTGGTAAGAGGAAATTACATACCTCCTTGTTTGACTTTAAGAGACTGTTTTTTTCACAAGCAGTCCTGTGAGTTGTCCAGTGAAAAGCAACCAGGCTAAAGTGGCCAGAATAATTGCAGTGAGTATGTTCAACATAACCTTCAGTCAGAGGTTTATCCATCAAAACTTCCTGTAGTTTAATATTCCAGCTGAGAGGAACCTACACTATCCCTTTTAGTGGCATTAAACTAAAATAAAACAGAACACTAAGTATTTATAAATTATGTTGGCATATATTGTGATTTTTAAAATCCATAATTGGGTGGTGGAAATGGTTTGAATGTCTGATCAAATATTCAGTAACTGTAAGGAATTACAGTCATTAAAATCTGTAAAATCAGTTTTGTTTCTGAAAAGCTTCCCATGCTGAAGTTCTACATTTCTCTTTTCTACTTTATACTCTCTGCTTTGCAAAGTGTTTTACGACCAGAAATACCCTAGTTTTCCCTCCAAGATGTACAAGTAAGGGAAAAGCATGTTGTCTATGCAATCTAAGGTTATGTTGTTATCTGCAGCTTAATTTTAATGCTGCTGTTCTGACTCATTGGTATACCAAGCATTTTCTTTGCTGGGAAGACTGGCAGGTTGCTACTTGCATGCATTTTTGTAATGCACTGTAAAATACAATGAAATACTTTATTTCTCTTTACAGGCAGGAACTTGGACAAGGAGACCATCAAAGAACTATTCATAGCCACTGTGACAGAAAAATGGGGAAGTGGGGAAAAGGATTAAATTAAATGTCTGTTCTTAGTCCTGCAAGCATTTTATACAGAAAAGACTGAGTGACATGGGGTTGTTGGAGAATGGCTAAGAGAGTGGGGACATAGTTCTGGGAACGCACCTGGGGAAGGCTAAAAAGAGCAAGGACACAGTCCCCTGGGAACGCACAGACACAGTCCTGGGAAAGCACCTGGGAATGCATTGTACAAGCAAGGCTCTGGAGATAGTAACTTATATATAGATAGGGAGTAATTCAGCTGGGCAGAAGGCAGCTTAACTTGGCAGAAGGCAGGGGCAGGTTGTCCTTGAGGGTGAGACAAACAAGTTTGAGACAAACAGCTAGGAATGCAGCCAAGCCTGAGAAAGTAAGAAAGAATCCTCACAGCTGTAACCGCAAGTAGGGAGAGTACCTGAGTGCTATCTCTAGAGCTTAGCCAATTATAAGTGATTGATAGTTTTATGCTTGTCATGCACTGTGTAAAAAAGAGCCTGTCGGACAATGAAGTTGGAGCTTGCTTTATCACTCACACGGAGTCGGCCGCTTGCCTCCCCACGCAGAACTTTCCCAGCATGGGGTTATAGTAATTTCTCTGTCCTCTTGCAGTTTATACAACAGTTAAACCCTGCAGTCTTCTGAAGAATCCCAGCTGACCTACTGCTTAAAGATTAGCTCTTATGGTCCAGAATCAAACACAGTTTACCATTTTTGATGTCAGTAACATCATGTATCTGTGCAGAAATGCACATAGGCAAAAGGTGGTGTTTATGCTCTACATGAAGTATTACAGGAGAGATACGGTAAACATGTTTGAAACTTAGTGCTTTCTCCAGCTAATTCTCTTCTACTACTGGAAATGAAGCAATAGTGATTATTGCCAGTGATGTAATGACAGTAAAAAGTATTTAGTGTCTACTATTAAACTGTCTTCCATCTCTTTTCACTTGTTTTGTGGTTTTTGAATGTATACATCTGGCCCAGCTACAGGTAAACCTGGTATATAAAGGAAACTAAAAATACAGAGATAGCAGAGGCTCAAGACCACATGGAATATGTACTGTCTGCATAAAACCTATGAATGCAGTGTTTGGTGACATAGTCAGTGGGTTAAAAGATGTAGCTGAACTATATCTTCTAGGCCATGAGCCTGCCACTTCTGGATTTGAGGGGCCGGGACCAGCACATTTTCACTGTTGTTGAGGCTGCCCTGCTTCATTTGTTATGGGGTTCTGACTGCTTTGAAAACATACTTGAAGCTTTTATCTCTGTACTCATTACAGTTTAGAGTTGAACTTCCTGCCCTGTACCTTCTCCAGTATTCTTTGTTCACTCTTAGTTTCGGAAGAGTATTTTGACTACAGCTGTGTGAAAGCAAAATGAGTGAATGCAAGCAGATATGTGGAATTAAAAATGCTTCTAAACGAAATTCTTGGCCATACAATTCTGAAGAATGGACTCGTAACTACAGTGCTATATGGATGCTTGTTGGTGTATCTGGATAAGTAGAAACTTATTTTTGGCACTAGAGGTGTGTTACTTGTTCAGTACCTAACATCGTAAAAAAAGGGGCCCATTCCCTTATCACCAGTCTTAAAATTACCATTTTGCTTCTGCTAAAATACATGAGTTTGGAGTTTGTTTTCAGAAGAGTTGAGGAAGAAGTCGTTAATCTTTCACTGCCAAAACCTGGTGTCTCTTTTGATTAAAATACTTAAGTTGTGTCCAGAAAGATGGAGCTCTTCAGTCTCAGTGTGGGTAAGTCAGTAGGCATGACTTCATTCCTCACATCATGAGTAGTTTTAGGTAGTTTGAAGCAGTTTCCAGAAACTAACTTTTTCTGGAAACTAAAGCAAATTAAAAAGGAAGAACAATCTGCTTACAATGTTGCTTTCTGTTTAGCAGAGCTTGAGTGGCATTAGAGTAAAACTGGTGTGTTGCTGAGTGATACTATGACAGTTTCCTTTGGCAATTGCATCTCTTGGTGTAGAAAACTAATACATTTATCACACTGGTACTTGTTTTGGATTGCAGAAATGACACATTCCTCCATGGAAATTTGTCAAATGATTGCCGTCAATGTTATTGATTGAGTTATAAAGATCACGTAAGTGCAAAACTGTGGATAATACATTTGTATTTGTTACTGCTTTTGCTTCCATCACAGGAAAAGTGATCAGATACCTTCTATCTTATAAATACCATGTAAAGAACTCTGTTCTCTTTAGAAAAATTAGTCTCCGAAGTGCCCAACTTATCGTTAATTTTCCATTTGGAAAAAAAGTTCAGAGATTTAATAAGAAGAGCTTCAACCATGAGTTATAAGTGAAAAAACCATGGATGACTTACACATGGTCATGTTTTAGATGCTTATTTTAAAAATATTTTCTCACTCACCACACACTCCAAAATTCCCATGATGGCTGTCAATATACTGGTTTGGTTTTTTGTTGCTGTAGCGGCGCATCTCTGGCAGCTGGAAATCTGTATAGCTCATCTTGATGCTACTCATTTTTTCTCTACAGGACTTTGCCTGCATTGCTTGCAGTGGTAGTGTCAGAGGAATTTTAGTTGGTGTGCACTGCTTTGTTTCTGCTTATCTCCTGTGTACTGCCTGCATATTTCCAGGGAGCCCCTTGGATGGAGAGCAAGCAGCTCGTGGGCAGGGTGAGAGTGTGTACCCTTTTGTCCTCACTGGGTGCCAGGATGGCCAGTGCTTTGTCCTCCATTCTGTTTGCACATAATGACACTAGTAGCACAGCCAAAGACCTCGTCTTTATCTTCTCCCGTGAAGACCACTGTTTTCTTTTTTTTGGGTATTTAACTAACTTTTTCTGGTCTGTTCTTTCGTGTCCAACCTGGGTTGCTAGGCCTTGTTTTTGTATCGTGCCAAAATGAAAAGAGGAGGACAGGTCAATGACAGAGCTCCAGTAAAAACTGCCCATAGTGAACCGATTGCAGTACTTGTGCTACAGGGAGTTACATCAAGGATGTCCTCAAGGAACTGGAATTGGGTTAAAGTGAGCTTGTGCAGGAGGCTGGAGGGGGCAGGCAGGCACCACTTAGCCCTGTCCTGGGGTTGTGGTGGTGTGGATGGTGGGATGCAGCTGAGGGATGCTAAAGGTGGGGTGAGGAGGGGTCCGGTGAGGAAAAGCGTTAGCATTTCTCCTTGTACAAGTCCCAAGAAGGGCACTGGGGGAGTGAGCCACACCTTCTCATGAAGTAATGGTGGCCACCAACACTTGCGCTTGCTTCCCACCCGAATAACTCTCAGGATAACAATGCTTCATTCCCCGCCATTAAGACACACAAAGCACTAAATACAAAGTGATCTCATCAACAGACGCATTTCCTTCCCTAGCAAGGGCAGAGGAGTTTCTTTCCTAGAGGCAAATTGCAATGATTTAATCAACTTTAATGTACCAAACATCTGCAGAAATCAGCTTTCCAAACCAGCACTTTTCTCCACTGTATTCTGCTTTCCACATGTTTGAATAAGCTCCATTAAACTTGACACTGACAGAAATTATCTCCTTGCACTATTGTGCCATTTGGGTTTAATCTTAAGGAATTACCCAGGGAGATGGATGGACAGATGGATGATTGTGATTTAATTTTTCTGTTTTATTATGCCCTTTAAAATTTAAGCAGTTCTGAATTTGGTACACTTCCACTAGATTCATACTTTTAATCCTTATGTATAACTTCTCACTGCTCTGGATAAGGTTGTTGTCTGTCTCAACCCCTGTAGGCAGGATTGTGGCCAGAGGGGACAGAACAGGTAGAGTTGGGGTCCCAGAAGTGTCCATTGTTTCTTCTTCCCTCAGATCCACTTGAGGATAATTTTTTCTATCTTTGCTATCATGCCTTTCTCATCCTGCACTGCTGCATCTTCATGTTGCATCCCAATTTCCTATATAAATTATATATATTTTATATACTATACACAGGTTCAGACCTGCATTATTTTATGTGATTGTGGGTGCACTGTCCATAGCAGTGGGGTCCCACTGCTAGGCCTATGCCCCACCTATTACACTCTCTGCCTGTATTCCTCTACACCACATCCTTGTCTCCAATTCTCAAGGCTGCTGATACTGTTTCTCTGTATTACTTCATTGTGTTACAGCTGTAAGTATCTCATTCTACACAGAATAGCACCTTGTTACTGCTAGCTGTAAAAACTATGGTTGTAGCATATAATGATCCAAAAAAGAGTAAAAGAAATTAGCAATTTGCACCTGGCCAGAGAAACTGCTGTCACAAGTAAACCAAAACCCACAAAATTTCAGGCAGGTTAAGAAAAGATTGGCCAGACCAGGTGTGACAAACCTCAGCCCTGTGGTCCTGCACACTTGATGCTGTTACTGGCAGTGCTAGTGCCATGCTGCAGGATGACATGATTACATTCCTGTTCCAATGCCCTATATATGCTCCTTCTGTTCTTCCAGACATGGCCATGTGGGCAAAGGGAGGAAAAAGGCAATCCAAGTCTGGCTTGGGTCAGCGGTTTCAGAGAGACAGCCTGCTTGAGGCATTACGCCTCCAGTGCATCTTTGACTGCGTTCATGGACATCCATAGAAATTCTGTGAAACGAATGGAGCTGTCATAGATCAAGCATTAAGCACTCTAGGATATGTGTTGCATGTTAAGGATGAGTAAAACACCACTAGTATTTACTTACAAATACTGGAATAAAGGGAGTTTTTACTGCACTGCTCCCAGTCTTTAATAGAGAGTCCCACTGACCTTACTGTCCCCACGCAACTAGTCCAAAATACCTAGTAGTTTCACATTGCTCTCTTAACAGGATTCCAATCTGTTGCATCTCTTTCAATTTAATAATTCCAATCTGTTAATCTACAAGGAGAGTTAATCTGTTAATTGGTTTTATTACTTTCTCTGTACTGTTCTTGTTTGAAATTTCTTTTTAATAGAAATGAACAGCTAATAATGATTTTTATACTCATAAAATTAGTATTTTATATTTTATCATTTCATTTAAATGCAACAGGA